CCTCCTCCGTGTCCCGCCCCATCCCCGTCCCCGTCCCGGTCCCGGTCCCCGTTACCGCGCTGTGCTGGTTCCTGAACAACTCGTCGTTACCCAGCAACGGTTGTCCCCGTCACTCAGCAGCTGTTGCTGCTGTCCCCCCCCCCGCCCCAGGCAGGCCACAGGCTGCCCCCAGGTAACGCTTATCGCTGGGGGCCTGTCGCCCCCGCACCCCGCACCCTGGGGGGACCCCGTGCCGCGGGGGGACCCTGTAACCTGGGGGGACCCTGCACCCCACTGTCACCCTGTGCCACAGTGGGACCCCATCCCCCAGCAGGATCTGGTCCCCGGGCAGGACCCCGCGGCATCGTGGGACCCTGCACCCTGCTGCGACCCTGCACTCCACTGGGACCCTGCACCCCACTGGGACCCTGCGCCCCACTGGGATTCTGTGCCATGGTGGGACCCTCTGCCCTGGCAGGACCCGCTCCCCCAGCAGGCTGCCGCCGCCGGGGCTGGCGCTCGAGGCGCTCGATGCGCAGCGCCAGCTTGAAGGCACTGGACTCCAGCTGAGCCAGCAGCCGGGCCGCCCGGGTCTGCAGCCCCTCCAGGGCCGTCTCCAGCGCCTGCACCCGCTGCTCGGCCTCCTCTGCTGCCGCCGCTGCCACTGCCTCGGCATGCACATCCAGCTTGCCCATGCGCAGCAGGAGCTCGCGGCCCTTGGCCTCCATCATGGCCCGGGCGCTGGGGAACTCAACCAGCACCTCCGCCAGATCCTCCTTGGAGAGGCAGAAAAGGTCCGAGTAGCCGATGCTCATGATGTTGGCTGTGCGCCGGTTCCCCGAGGTGTTCCCTGGGGAGGTGGGGGCTGCGGTGAGGCTGGGGGGGGCTGGAGGGCTGCGGTGGGGTGCAGCAGGGGGCTCACCTTTGATGTTGATGAGGCTGATCTCTCCAAAGTAGAGCCCCTCGCCCAGGATGGCGAGCTGTGTGACGCCGTCCTCCGCCACCACGGCCAGCTGCCCCTCACGGATGAAGTACATTTCACGCCCCACGTCGCCCCTGCGGCAGACAAACTCGCCGGGGCTGAAGACCTGGGGCTGCAGCCGCAGCACCAGCTGCTGCAGCACACCGCGCTCACAGCTCTGGAAAAGACCGACGCGGCGCAGGGCCGGCAGGTGGACGCTGGCCGCCACGTCGGCCCGCAGCCCCCGCGGCAGGTGCCGCAGCACCGACTGCTCTGCCGGCAGCTTCCGCTGCGCCCGCAAGTGCTGGTGCCAGTCAGCCACCCGCCGCGACAGCTGCCCGCCCATACCCTGTGCCCTCAGGTAGCGTCGCACCGGCTCGGGGTCAGGGTAGAAGGCAGCATCGGCTGCGTTCCTGTTGGAGATGACGGAGCTGATGCTGCCCATGATGGTGGCGAAGTCCAGCACAGCCAGAAGGAAGCCGGCGGTGATGAAGAGGAACTCCTCCTCGCGCTGGGGCTCCGGTGTGTCGCCCACGGTGGCGAGGATGAGGGTGGAGAAGTAGAAGCTGTGGAGGTACTGCCGCAGTGGGTGGGCGAAGCCAGGGCGGCTGGCGTTGGGGCAGACCCAGGCATCGGTGCCCAGTCCCAGCCAGGATGAGAGGGCGAAGTAGAGGCAGCTGTGCCAGTGGATGGTGATGAAGACGTAAAGCATCAGCTTGGCGACGCGGAAGGTGTTGGGGTGGCCTGTGCGCGTCTCCCAGCGGTCGAAGGCCTCGAAGAGCCGCGGCGCCCGCAGGCAGCGGTTGGCACGCACCGCCGGCACCCCCGGCCCCAGGTGCAGGTAGAGCAGGTCGGTGGGCAGCACCGCAGCAACGTCCCAGGGGAAGGATGGGGAGCTCAGGTAGCGCTGCCGGATCTGGCCATGGTCGCGCACCAGGATGCCATCCTCCAGGAAGCCTGGGGGTGGCAGCGGGTCAGGACGCAGATCACTGCCGGGGCTCCTTGGTGGGGCCATGCTGGCACTGGGGGGTCTCCCATCAAGCAGGGGGGGGCTGAAGTGAGGGGTGACAGGCTCGGGGTGCCCAGGGTTTCCCTGTGCTGGGAGGAGGTTAGTGGTGGAAGACCAGGTGGGTGCCCACTGCAGGGCACAGAGGGGTCCCTGGGCCTGGTTCTCCTGGCAGGCACCCAGGACAGGTGTCCCGTGGGACGTTGCTGTGGGCTGGGGGTCCCCTGTGCTGCCTGGGCTGCCCGTGGGGCTGAGGGTCTCAGCAGTGGGTGCTGGGACCCCAGAGCACCCACCCAGCCCCCCCCCCCGTACTGGGCTGGCTGATGGGGTGATGGCTGTGCCCAGGGTGGGTGTGTGTGTGGGGGGTGTGCACCCGATGGCCTGAAGTGTGGATGGCTGCATACATGTGTGTGCGTTCACGTACACATAGGCATGCACATGCATGTGCACGTGATGCATGGCTGTTTGCACATAGCTGTGAGTGCACACAAACATGTCTGTGCACACAGGTGAGTGTGCATTTGCATGTGCAATTGCAGCCAGGTGTGGAGCAGGTGTGGGGCAGGCGGTGGGGCTGGGGCACGCCGGGGCGCAGGCACTGACCGGTGTGGAGGCGCACGGCAATGTCCAGCAGGTAGAGCGTGTCGCAGAGGTAGTCCAGGCTTAGCCACAGCACCGTGTGCTGCTCCTGCAGGTCAGGGAAGCAGGACCTGGCGGTGCAGGCGGCGTCACTGGGGCTCAGACGGTGCCAACGAGTGCCAGGATGCCCTGTGCCCCCACCCCGCCACAGGTGCCAGGGGCCTTCGGCAGCAGCACCTGCCCTGTGCCCTCCCAGGCACCTGCAGATGAGGACGATCCAGTTGTAGAGGACGGGCGGCACCATGATGCTGATCCACCAGTAGTACCAATCTCCAGAGGGGTCCAGGGTCCAGCTCCGGGGGGTGGTGGTGCTGCCGGGGGAGGTAGAGGGACCTCAGGGCTGCCTCATCCCCGGCTGGCTGCATCCCCCCATCCAGCCATGCTGGCGCCTGGCCCCCCCCCAGCCCTGCACCGTGGCCCTGCTGCCAGCAGCTCCTTGGCTCAGCCAGCTCCTCGCCATGGCATAGGGTGCTCCACACCCGCAGATCCCGTGGCACTGAGGGGTGTCCCTGCCATGTGCTCCCACTCTGGTCCCCATGGTGGGCAGCCATGCCCTGCTCACCTGCAGGCATGTCTGGTGCTGGTGCCAGGCTTGGCTGTGGCGATGAGCCCAGTGGTGCCGCGTGGCTGGGGCCAAACCCAGCAGTGGGACAGCATGGAGCTGAGTCTGTGCATCCTGCACTGCGGGCGCCAGTGAGGGTCCTGCACCTGTCCTCCAGCACCCAGTGGGTGCTGCAGCCCAGCCACGGCACTGAGCATGGTCCCTCGGCAGGATTCAGCCGTG